TTGTTTGAAAAGTGATTATCCATCTTGCGTACTTACATGTTTTTTTTTATGTTTATAATTTAAGGTAGAAATAAAATCTTCAAAACTAATTAACTCTACAAAATTGTACTAAATAATTAGTCTTTCTAATAAATTAATTTACTCTTTTAAATACATATTCAATTAGACATATTTAAATTTATGTTTGAACAAATTATTATTATATTTGTAAAATTATACATTTAATGGGATGATTGTTATGTATTTTATAGTCAAATTATTGTTAATAAAAGTTAGGTACACATAAAGGTGCAAAAGCATTTCATACATTAACTTTGTGCCATTGCTCACAATTTGAATCGTACACTTTGAATTTGAATTTTTATTGCTGCGATATAAAATAAGGATAACACAATTATTAATTAATACTTTTTAATATTATATTATTTATATTAATTGCAAATCTTTTACATTTATGTATTTTATGATGTAAAAATGTGTATTAGAGATTTAATAATAAATATTCCCAGTTTAATATTCGAATAACTAATATAAGATAACACTTTGGAGCAGCTTAGGATCTGTAATCTTCAGAGGATCACATTCCACTCGCTTCAGCCAGAACTGTCGTTATCGTAATCGAGTTGCTGAATTTAACATTTACACATTATATTCAAATATCACATACAGACCGACAAGTGCCGCATGTTCTTAAGTAAGTGTTCTTTACAAGTGTTAATTTCCTTTTAAATGAAATGGGAATTGATTATTGTTACAATAACTTAATAGAACCTTTTTTTTTCAAATAATATCATAGAAAATCTCTCTTCCTATAAAAAAAATAATTTGGTATAAAAGTAACAAAAGTCATTTATTATTTAGATTTCTTCCTTACGGTAAGTGGTAATATGACTTCCATGTCTGACAAAAGAAAATGTTGACTGTTAAGCATATGTTTTGTATTGTGTTGGTAATTAATAAATACATCCAATTTCATTATTTGGATACACACTTTAATTTATGAAGAAGTGTAATCATACATACAGAAACATACACAATCTTGGTCTTAAGTTCGAACTAAATAGGGTTTAGTACCTAGAACCTCACATATGACAATATCAATTTATTTGAGAATTTTAAATGTCAATCATATTTAAAACTTTCTTAACAGAAATTTACAATAATTAAAGTAACGTTATTATAATATATTTAACATATGTTACGCATCAAATTTTTACATACTTCGCTTTTAAGTTACTATACACAAAATTTTGCAAACTCATAATTGTATAGTGTATGAACCCTTACAATAGGGTGGAATACCATAATTCTTGGGGTTCTCTGAATGACAAGAACAGATGAATGAATCTGGATTTGTGAAATAAGCTGTGATTAAGATGACGATATAAAATGTAGGCTATTATTTTATTAATTTATACTAAACATAATGTATAGTATGGTATGCATATTTTGTTACTGTTGGTTTTTAAGAGTTTTTTATAACCTTTCAACAAATTCTTTTACTACTTTTTTCCAAGGAATATGTTAAGAAGTATTTTTTTTTTGTTTTTTAAACTATTATAATAACGACTGTAATTGCTTTATCATATATGAATATTGTACTCCAGCTTAATACAACTTTATCATTAATGACACAGAAATATTTGTACAATGTAGTTATTCTAATGTTAAAGCAAAAATTTTAGTAGTCCAAAAGATGAATAACATAAATAAAAAAATTGAACATAAAAAATATTCATCGATTTTTTAAATGTGTTTACATGGATTTTTTATTGACTTACTTAAAATATACCGATTTTTTATTTAATTTGCTAATTTTAAATTGTTTATGGCTAGTATAGTGCGTTTGATTTAAGCTGAGCTTTGCATTTATGTGAGTGTACACGGATAGTGATTAGTGTAGGTGTGATGTCAAATTTTTGAATGCCACGTTCTTTTCTAGTTTTTAACCGGTTTATTCTGCTTTTACTCCCCCCCGCACCTTCCTCACTTCACCATTTGTACTAATAGCAAAATCAAATTTTGAAAACGTAATGTCAAGTGACGAAGAGTTTGTAGTTTTTTCAAAATCTTTATTAATCAATAATTTTTCTGCATAATATTTATAATATTTCCATCTGGCTTTTTATAAGTTTTGCTTATTTTATTGACCTTATGTTATGTATCTATTTAAAAAATAATAAAATTTCATTCTAATAGTTTTTTGTCTTACTCTACTTTTACTTTCACTCACACAAATGCAAAGCTCAGCTTACGTCTAACGGACTATACCCAGTTAGAGGTTCAGGAAAACTTCAACTAAGTCAGCAGGGTCACACTTTAAATGACATTTTATATATATAAAGATGATGCCCTGTCAATGTTATGTAGTTAGCGTTTCAATATATTATTTGCGTAGTTAACATAATTATAAAGATCTCTTTAATTGTAAAATCTCATACAATAGTTTTACTGTGATAAAGCTTTATTCCAACAATTATTGCAACAATTCCTTTACGAAAGCCGACGTCATCGCTAACGTGACCTAAACCGATTAAAACAATAGATTATGTTGGCGAGAATGATAAGTTGCTTTGTGTTGTTTGAGTAATCAGTCTAGTGAGGGTTTTCATTAAGAAATTTCACAAAAATACATTTATGTCAACTTCGTACCAGTTGATATTTTTATTTATAAATGCTCCTTTATACACGGCAGAAAATTACCTTTAAAAAGTAAGATAAAATGTGTACAATAAATAACATTATAAATAAACTACTTCTACAAGACAAACTTTAACTACACATTTAAAAATGGACAAACAGTAACATAGTGCTTAGATATTTATAATTATTATGTAACATAACAACAGCATATTATTTTTTGGTTTTTGAGTAAAAAGTATACATAAATTATATTTTATAAGGCGGTAGAGCCTGGCTATAACCTATCGATATTATTAGAATTAAAGCAAAAATATAATAATAAGGAATGTTTTCAGTTAGAATAAAAATAACAACTTATGTATTTAAGCTAAAAGTAGTTTTATTGTCATTGGTGACGTACAGACCTACGACGTATCAGCTCACGGTGGATCTTATAAGAAACGACATGAATAATAAATGTTGAAGTCTATCTAGTTTAATTTGCAAGACTGAATTCAATACGAGTAAGAAAAATTTCCCTGCAAGAACTATTTCACGGAAGAAAAATAAAAAAACGGCGCATTCCAAGTCTCAAGTAATAGGTAGGGCAGATCGAACGTAAGGTTTCAAAAACTCTCACGAAGTTTTAAAATTACGAAAATATAAAGCATGATTTAGTCTAACATTAAAACAACTATAACAACATTACTCTAAAGACTTTAGTATCATCTTACTTAGCTAACGATATGCTACGTTCTAAAACATAAACAGAAGTTTCCACTGAGAAACTTTTAAAACCAAAAGTGAAGCCAGATGTTCTAGGTAAGTGGGTTTTATTATAATATATTTCTTTCATATTTACTTTATTCTCATATACTCTTGTTTCTTATTTCAATGAGTGGACTATAGTGATATCCAAGACTTTAGCGAATATTCATTTAAATCAAACGCAATTAAATAAGGTATTAGTTGGCGTTAATTACAAATAACACGATCAACTAACAGAAACTTTCATCTCGTTAGCTTGTGGTCACGGTTGCTGAAAAAGTAACCAAACATCTGGAGTGTGTAGATTCTAAAAATAATATAAAGCAGATAATATTTCCAAACATATTGCTAAGGATTTAATTGGATTTTTTAAATCAAATCATAAATTAATATGTTTTTTAATCATATTAATTAAAGAAAATTTCAATTGAACCTGTGACTTCAGTTTAAAATTTTGTTCTTTGAATATGAGTTAATAAAAATTGGATTTTATATATAAATCGGAGAACTTAACCTTACAATATAGTTAATAACTCTTATTTAAGTTATTAAAACTTACAGCTTTGAAAGCGTAGGAATGATTTATTTTATTAATGTTTTAGTTAGGTCATAAGATATTTACGACAATTTTTTTTTTAAATTGATTTATCTTAATTCAGTATTTAGAGATTGACTTTTTAATACTAATTTTATATCAAGAATATAACGAAAAAAAGTTTCGAAAATTAACATGAAATTACACAAACTACATGCGTATGAATACTAGTGTCCTAAAGAATAGGCGTTATTCACGATTATATTCTCATAGAAATATACTTACAGGAGTTGAGCTGTACACAAGTCACGTTCCGAGGGAGTTTAGTTTATTAAATGATCGAGCATGTTTTGACAAATACCCTTGAGAAGTACAACATTTTAACAAAAAACCTACTTCCTACTTTTATAATATACTATACTTTTAATAAATAATTTTTTCACCACTTTAGGTTTTATTCAGTGTTCAAAAAATAAATATTATATTTAAGATTTGTTTAGTTACAATCTAGAAAATAAACAATTAGTCGACCTTCTCACGTGTTTTCCTTCCGCATATAAGTATGAAGATAATTCTGCAGCTTCTGCATATATGTATGTACATAAGTAGATAAGTAAAACAAGCTCAATTTGTTCGCGAAAACACTATATCATTTCCATATTAATGGCACTACATGTCTTACAAAGTGTAGAAATGCTATTGTCGGGTTGCAGCAAGAATAAATTAATTAAACAGTATAAGAAAGCCATTGTCACTTATCAGATTTTGTATAATAAATAGAGCATTGGCGTGCAAAGGCTGTTAAGATTAGAGTGACAATATGGTCATGGTAAAATTTAACGTCATATGTAGCATTTAATTATCAATTAATATAGGTGAGTATAAAAATGTAGAAGTTTTAAAGTTGTTAATTAATTTCCATAAAATAGGTACCTAAAATCACTAAGAATTTGTTGCAAATAAATAGTTGTATTTCTTCGAATGAGCTATGTTGGTTACCCTACTAGAGTATCAGAATAGTAACCACATTGAGGTTATCTTTTAATCTGATTTACAATTCCTATGCACTTAAATTTTAAGCAAATGCTGCAATACAATAACATTTATATTACAGAATAATCAGTCAATGTATGTGTGTATGTATGTTTCATAATTTTTGTGATGATTATTATCACATCAAAAACAAAAATTAAAACAAGACATTTAAATAAATTCAAGACAGTCGAACTCTTTCTGAGCATATTGTATGTAGTAACAAACTAAATAAATATTTTTTTATTTTCTATTGTACTTGCAAGAAGTTACTAAGACGCACGTAGCAAATGTGAATTGTATCGCGGTGACTTGGAAGGTATCAAATAGTAAACATAATATTAAAGTTTCGAATCCATTATAAATATAAACAACAAAGTAGTGAACTATATGTACCTACATTTTTATCAAATACAAGCAAATACCGTACATTCAATAAAATAGTAACTAGTGATGAAGCAAAACCCATTAAATTAGATATATAATATTAATGAAAAAGTGAACAATTTCTGTACAAAGGCTAGTTAGTTAATATATTGACGTAAAGACTTTATTTGTCAAAAGAACTTGGACAGTATGGCTGGTGAGTCTGGTTTCATTTGACCACATATCTTCAATCTTCTCTGGTTGAAAGTTCAATCCGCATTGTAAATTTGTTCTTTTTAGATTTTAGACATATTGGCTTCCATTTGGCATTATTATTGTGCTTGTTTTCTCTGATATTTTAGTGAATATTAGGTATTCGTGTGTATTGATAACGCATTTGATAATAATTAAAATTTTATATACTCAGACCGTATCTCTTCCCTTGTTTGTTTGTTTTAGAACTACTGTATTTTAAACATATAGGATGTAACATTGCTTTAGATATATTTTCAGTTTTATTCTTATTATAATTTTAAGTTTCTACATTAATATGTATACTTTGATTAATATGTAACTGGAATTGTAGATATTTAATACTTAAGTCTGCCTGTATTTGTAATTTTCAAAATAAATACTGTGATCTAAAAAGAAAGAAAAATTTGAGAACATATACATAGATTTATGTTCTATAATTAGCAGTAACTGATTTAAAAGTAAAAACTAAGAATTTATTATTCGAAAAACTATTTTTGTCCGGTTAATGCATTAAGAATAAGCTTTTTCGTACTTATGGTTATTTATTGATGTCATAAGAAAAACAAAAAAAAATACGCGAGAAGTGTTCGACGTTCTTACTTTAATAATTTGTTAATATTTAATCAATCCAATAAAAGTTCTCTAATATCATCACGCAAACTCTTTGATGTTTCATTTCCTTCTTTGTTAATTATAGTAAATAAATGGCTGTCACATAGAATATCTGTGATTTGTTAAATAAGTATTTTTACATATAGTCTTGATATATAACAAATGTATTACTTTTAAATTTTATTACTCCTTCTAATTGTGTCAAGATTACTTTAGAATTATTTCTCTAAAATAGTTCATTAAAGTCATAACAAAATTAATACAATGGCATTTCCTTTCTTTTTAGATAGACTTGATCAATGAATGAATTATTTTTACTATATATTCTCTAAAAATGCATAGATTTTAAAATGTCAATTTTAAAAGCAGTACAAATGGACATTAAATAATAAATGTAGCAAATGTTACGTTCCGTTTGATAGAACCTTTGTTCGTTGATTTATAGTTCTCTTGGGATATTTAAAGATTCACTGTTTAACCTGCAATTTGCATTAATTTCACTATTTTAAAAGCTAAATACCCATTCATTTCTATAGAAATACCAAATAAATTAATACCTACGCTCATAACATGGATAAATATAGATGATCACAATATAACAGAAAACATGAAATAATGATCTGTATTAATCTTACAAATGTTTTTCAAAGTTTCATAGTAAAGTTAAATGGACTGTTAATAATATAATTGTTAGAACTTGAGGCTGGAACTCAAATGTCCGTCTAGATGAGTTAACTTGTAATTAACTGTAAATTGTGTAGTTTACCCCGGCGAGAATTAAAAACTTGGAAGAAATAACAAAAAAATTGTAATGAAGGTATTAAATTTATGCCACTACAGTATCATTACAATTCTGTGTCAATATTTAGTAATTATAATTTATATGATCTAAAGTAGCTGTTAAAAAAATTCACTCTCTTGAATTTAAAAAAACAGTATAAGAAACAAGAAAAAATAAATTTATATAATAATATTTTTTTTCATCATAAAACATTACAAAAAAATTAGTATTTTAAATCTTATACTATTCAATGAGAAATAAACTTTAATTATATCATATAATATTCTTGAAAAAAGATGTTATAACAAAGGACTTAAACAACAGATATCATTATTAAAGCACAAACAGAAAACCTGATATGTTTGTCCTTATATCGATAATTGAGTTATTTCAAATATATATATAAACCATTTGTGTCCGGACAAAACTATGAAAAATGTACTTATTCAATTATATCTTCAGGAAAAATTCTGATTATGTGAACCAATACCAGGTTTTTGTAAATTCCTTCATTCACGAAACTGAATAACATTTAAGAATATAAAATCCAATTTTCAATATTTTCCAATGTTCAAAGTCATAAAAAATATGAGACGAAACTTCTCAGCATTCCATGGATTCACCGTGCGGGTGCCGGGTCCATCGCGTGGGAGGGAGAGGAGCTTCAACAGTGCCTGGGACTTGCGACCCAGGTGTAGGTTTAAGGGGCCCCTTATCTAACGCGCGTTATACGCTCACCTCCACCGTCCAAGCTCTTCTCCCTACCTAACTAAATTTGAAAAGAACCTACTAGAGCTGCCTTTGATGTACGTTCCAAGAATGCATTAATGTGAGTTCTGGACAAGCCCAAGTCTTTTAGTAGGTTGTAGAAAGGTTTCGCTGTTATACCTCTCGCTCCCACCTCTACTGCGTACAAATCTACGACGAACTTATTTCGAGTGAGTTCGTTAGTGAGCTCATTATATTTGTTGACCTTGATGGTATGGTCTTTGGGGATGTTGGTTTCCCAAGGAACCCTAAGCTCTATCATCACTACGCTCTTTAAAATTCGCGAAAACAAAAATATCCGGTCTGGAGGCCGACGCACAAATATCCTCGGGGATTTTACATGTTATTTTTACAAAGACATAATTTTATTTACCTCAACGGGAAGTTCTGACAAGCAAATTTGATCGACAATAAAGAAATAATTAAACACCTCTCTCACAATGAAAATAACATCTAATTCAACAGAGAAAAGAAATTGCATCAACTTTTTATACTCTTTTCTATGTTAATGATTTAATCATATTATAAATTTCGTTTACTTTATGGTATTAGTCTAAGATAAATTTGCTTTTCAAGAATTTTTCTTTCTATAGTATTAATACAATCAAAGTGAGCCATAAAACTGTTCTACAAACACATAGTTTTCTAATATACTTCAAAAATACTTTTAGATTTTTTTATACATATAATTATTTTAATTTATATCTTACATATATGTTGTCCGTCAAAAAATATTTTAATCTAATGATATAATATTATACTACTAAAATCATCTCTTAACAAAAAAAAACTGTTAAGAAAACCAATTAGCATTTGTGTAATAGACCAAACCCATTACTTAAATAGGTCTTCATTTCTAGACTTACTTTTAGATTATCCCAATGGCCTCAGAATTTGTATTTAACTTCATAAACAGTAACGTTTAAAATGTTTTGAAATTTATATTAGGTAGTACCTGCAAAGGGTTATTAGAAAACAGCATTTTGATTTTATAATATCTTTGTAAAAACCAGTAGAAAAAATTACTTAACTTATTAATATTATTGTAACATCGAAACAACGAGTGTAAATAAAAAAAAATACCAGGAATACTCGAGTTTACTTACTATGAGATTTCTTATATTTAAAACCTTTTGAAATTGTAAGGCACCTGAATTTTGTCCCTGTCGCGAACGAGTTATATGTGATTCCTAATCTTTCATTTAAAGTGACAAGTTAAAATCATTACATATATATTTATTCATTTATGTTTTTTTATAATTATTATTATTACGAAACAGTAATTAATACGTATTTGCTTCAACGTAAAAAAGAAATTATTTCAACTAAGTGATATTATTTAGTAAATTATATTTAATTCCAAATTATATAAAATATTTCCAATAACTTATAATTCTTCTTTTTATAAATTATTTCTCCATTTATTTGTTTTATATGTACTTTTCAAACAGGTACAGGTACAACCTATATATATTTCATTTGATTTTCTTAATTTTATGGAGTAAAAATATTCGAAATAAAAATGTTCATAACTGGAAATAAAATCCCTGATCCTAATAGATAAAATCAAGATATATAAATATTTAGACAATAATCTTATAGGGCAGTAACCGTGGTCCAAATACATATTTAAATATAGTGTAATTTTCTATCTATTAATGCAATATTGACGACGCAGCAGAGATTATTTCATCAAGCAGCGTTCTTATGTACTTTAACTGATTCATCCTTTTTTAAAACATGAAATGGAAATAAGTGCTGTTGATAAATTTATTACTGTTATCGTATTGACTCTTCGTTTTATACAAAATAACTTGCAGAATGAGATTTACTGCTTCAGGGACTGCAGAAATAAAATTCAATGAAGCAAATTACTTTCAATCTTAGTGTGAAAGTGGTATTAATAAATCAGATTTCTGATTTATTAGCAATCAGCTCCAAATATATTTATGTGATTCTAACTTTTCTGATTTCGTGTATCAATTTATTGAGTTTCCATTTATTAAGAAAATTATGTGAGGAAATTCAAAATACCAAGAGACTGGAGCACCTTTGATAAAATTGTTTATTAAGTTGCTTTAAACTTTACTTACTCGTTATGTACGCGACACATAATTAAAAAATTACGCACGAAGAGGAGGCGATCTTTGTGTGGGTATAAAAAATATGGAATTGAAAATGATATTGTTGATCATTGCAATCTCGAAGTCTTAGGTAGATTATAAGTTGTAGTTATAGAGATTTTATTATATTTCTATAACTTACTAATTAACAAGAGATGTTTGTTTAGAATTTGACTTTTCTATGAAGTGCTCTTCAATTGTATAAAAAAATGGAACATTACTTTCAGGTTTTCCATCTAATGTTAGTTTCTATTATATATTTTTAATATATGTAGAACAACACTATCACATGTAAAGCTGCTTGGATTCAGTGTAATCGAAAATTGTTTTATACATCAAGAGAACTTCATTCAGATAAATTTTCTGTTGTTCCATTAGTGTTGCAGGCAAAAAAAATCAGGATTTTCAAAAGCTAAATAATAAATACATTTAATTTTCCTTTGTTCTAAATAACGTGAAGATTTTTTCGGCATCGATCGGCATCAATCGGCATCAAATAATTACATTCTTACTATCACATATAAAATAAAAAAAATAATTAAATACGAATCTAACAATGTCTTTGCCACACATTTTTAAATTTTTTACATTTCGCTATAGTATGTAATCCGTATATCTTTTTTCTATTCACGATTTCACTTAAATAAAATCTAATTAAATGGATTCTCCTCGACAGCGAAATGCCTAAAGCCTAATTCTCAGAAACTTAGACTTAACACGTAAGAGCATTCTGGAACATGCGATAATTATACATACAGACATTTTAATTGGATATATACTAAAAAGATAATTATTATAACAAAGCGTTCAACGAACGTTTGAACTGACAGTCAAAAGGAAATATTCAATTAAAAATTAACAAGCTCCTATTATATAATTCATATAATCTAACATATTAGTTTTGTAAATTTAGCATCCTTATAAAAATTAATAATATATTAATAATTTTCTTGAATATAATACTATGTTTGTAACCGTGGCTGATGTTAGGCAACACAGCATTTATTTCTTTAATCAACTTCAAGGAATACAGATTGCTTCTTCCTTAAAATTTCTCAAACACTTTCATTGGACTAATTGTCATAATTTCATTATTCTAGTTAATATATTTATTTATATCCATTAAAGTTCACTCATTCCTTACGGAAAAAACGTCCTTACGGACGTGAGTAATTTTAAGCAATCTTATTTAAGAATCGATAGATTTCACACGTTTCTCTTACGAAGCGTTACATCAATTAATTTAATGAAACATGTTTGTTCTGTAAGCAGGTTTTATACAAACCAATAGTCTTAAAAGCAATAAATATATGTGGCAGTATTATGATAATATTTAAATTACACTAGTGGTTTTATTGAAGAAGTTATAAGGATCCTTCGGTAGATGAGGAAAAATTATTTTTAACAAAAATATATGAGATAACTTCTCATTTAACTACAATATAGTTAATAAATTTTTACATCATAAAGTTCTAGTACTAATTTCAATGTACAACATAAATTTTAAAAAAAACCTGATATATGTATATCTATAGATTTATATATCAAAGGGTTTTATCATGGTTTTTACTGATATTCTACTTTATTCCACAAAATATGAACTACAATTACAATCAAATCACCTACATCTTTATAAAATCAGAAGGTATGTAGAATAAAAACCCCAAATAAAGATTGCCATATTGGGAGGATGATTGAATTAAAGTACAAATAGATACAGAAAGAAAAAATCTTATTTGGAGGCAGTTTTCAACATGCAACGTTCAAAGGCATATGATTTACTTAACTAACTTAATTATTGTGTCTTGATTTAGGTCAGTGAGTTAAGCATACTGTATATTTATTCATTATATCGGGATAAAGATAGCATCTATTTGGCTTGGTAACTAAAAAAATTCTAATTTTTCAGTAAAGGAGAAACATTAAAATACCACCATCTATATTATATTCATATAAACAAATCTTAAAACATTAAAGAAAAGTTTATAATAAATTGCTGTATTCCACAAGTATAGAATTTTCATCCTAAATTTTAACTCACATTCCTTTATGTTAAATGGTATCAAATCGTAGGGGATAGTGCGTATCCGCGTAACTAGCATAAATTAAACATTAAATAATTACGTATTGTGAAAGAATGAACAAGTTAATTTAGAAAATATTTCAGCTCAAACTTTCTTCTGATAATCTGCTTCCAATGTAGATACGCGGAATTATCCCACGCTAGTTAGGCGGATATGCATTATCCCCGACGATATATTAAAAACATACTTACATTCTTTGTCTATAGCGCTAAGGAACATAGCTAAAGCTGAGAATCGTTTCACTCCACATATATTCTTTAGGTCGGCGGCCACAGAGTGAGGGAAACGGTCCATATTGTTGTGAACAGTTCTCAGTACTGATGACAACACATCACTCTCGAGGGCATTCTCAAAGATGGATGGTAATAGGTCCGGGGGTATTATCTGGAAATATTATATCATAAACTAAATAATAATCTAAACAAAATAAACTATTTGTATGTCTGTTTATAGTATAACTTTATTATATATTCTATTTCGTAATATATTGTTGAATATATTCAGTTTATTTATAGACTATGACTACCACTTTGTATAATATTTATATATTAAAAACTAGTAATCCCGGCGAACTACGTTTCGCCATCAAAAGGCTTCGTTTTATGTAACATTTCGTTTGGTGATTATAGATAAAAAAAAATTTTGTTTTATATTTTATTTTTTTGTTGATTCTACTTCTATCATGACCTACCGATATTCTGAAGAGCAGAAGACGAGATATTTATTTAATCATCCGGTCACCCATCCAAGTTATGATCGAAGCGGACGTAGCTTAATTAGTATCAATTAATATCCAAGCTATGAATAATCTGATTTATTGAATATAAGAACAGAATACTAGATATTTTTTTTACTATCCAATCACCCATCCAAGTTACGACCAATTCGGACATTGCTTAACTTCAACTGATTCATTGAGTATTATTCCAGAAGTTCTGTATGTATATACCTGTGTGAGATACTGTTTCCTCTGCAGCCAGGCCTGGTTCAGTCCAGCTGCCAGCTTCTCCACTCGCTTCACCTTCTCCAACTCCTGGGCCTGCTCAACCTCCTTCTGTAGAGATGAGATAGCTTTCTGGCGACCGTCTATCTCAGCCTGCGAATTTATTACACAAATATTACTTTACTAAAAGATTTCAACAACAAAAATACTAATTTATATAAAGATAAATTATATATTAAATTAAAATAATAATAATTCTTTGTAATTCTGATAAATAAGCTATATTATTGTTATTTCATTAAAATAGCAGCAGTTTTGACTTAGAAGAGTCACAAATTAATCCATATATATGTGTACTGCTGGAAGGTGTATATGTCCAGGTGCTACCTTGGTCTCGTGGCGGTGTTCCAGTAGTGCCTGGGCGTCTGTAACGCTGTCGGGCTCTGCGCGGTCCAGGCGCTTCACCGTCTCTGTTACCCACACCTCCCACTCCTACAAGACATGTACAACGGTTATAAAATATTCAAAATTGCATTTTTCATTAAATAATAAATAATTTCTATGGATAAATATAAAGGGTTGGATTTCGTATGAACATTATTAAATATCATGAAATTCTTGTATATAATGTACTAATAACAGTGATTGAAATTTTATTTTACTTCATAATAATGATGATATAGGCTAATTTTTATGTAGTAGAAATGTTTTTTATGTCAATTATATTACTTCTATGAAGGGTACAAATACACGTGCACACACCCACACAAATAAACAATGCACATGACACTAGTACAGAGACGTAGCTTCCATTGATTTAATGAATTACGAAAAGTCTAAAATACATTTAGTAATGATGTCTTTACAGGGCTATTGATATATACATATCTATATATAGAGAGAGAGGGAGCGCTAACCTTAAGGTTCTCTTCAACTTGTGTTTCTTGATAGCGTCGACTAGCATATCAGAGCGCGCGCGGCCGCCAGCTGTTGCAGCTGCTCCCAGCCTTTTTTTTTTTTTTTTTTTTTTTTAAGAGGGGAATCTTTTAAAGACTTCCTGCCGCGGGGGAAACGCGACAGGGGCATGTGGGATTTCCACCCACTAAACCACCTCGACGTTCTCTGCGCTGTGCGTAGACTAGTGAGCGGGAACGGCAAGCCATACTTCCGCTCACTACGCACGAGCTGCTCCCAGCCTTGATCCATCTGAGACAGCTGGGACTCGATTATCTCACGCTGTTCAGGATGACTGGGGAGAAGAATATTATGATTAAATTAATAAATTATTGTTATTGATTGAATAATTAGATGACAAGTGTTTTTTTTCTAGTTTGAAGTTAATATATATATATATATATACATACATATATGTCCAAGTTACTATACAGGATGATCTACCTCCTCCCGAGCGCTGCTCTATCGTTCTTCAGTTGTTGTATCCTATCCCTTATAGCTCCTGCCTCTCGGACAGCTGCTTCCAGCCTCCTCTTCACACACATACTCCTCACACACTCCTCGCTGCGGAATAAGGCTGCCTTGCGGGACAGACGCTCTGATGTCTCTTGGACGTCCCTAGATGAATGATAATGGGTTAGATATGTTTAAATAATACATTCGTTTCAAGTATGTATTATAGTTTACATCATAGGTTCACAAAGTTATGTTGTCTATGTAGAGTTTGAGAATAAGTTGTTTTTCAGTGCTTAAAATTTTTCATCTATGTAAGACCACTATAACTTATCGTAACTGAATGTTATTACAAAACAACTTGGTCTCTATACAACGCCCTATTATTTTCCTGGGTCTCTTACCCGCCCTTTAGGCCTGCAGCGTCCACTAAAGGGCGTTATCACCCAATTTGAGAAAGACTTTAATTGATAAATGAATTTGAATGATATTATCTAGAGGTAGTACATTCGAATCGTTGTTAATAAATTTTTCATTCTATACTTCAGATTGGATTCTTAATTACATTGTTATTTTTACAGTAAGTAGCACTGTATATGGTAACAATCATGTATTATAGGTGTTATCATTCGCTGTATGTGTCTGTGTGTGTGTGTATGTGTACCTGTTGAAGGAGTGTAGCTGTAGCGCTGCCGCCAGCCTCTCGACACGACGGGCCGCGACGCTGGCAGCGTGTTGGGTCGGACCCTGGCAACACACACACATATATATATAACGCAGACATTTACAATTGATTCAACATGAATAATAAATTGTACTTTAATTCATGACAGTAATATGTTAGTTCACACTAACGTCATTCTGAATCCAATATGGCGGAACATCCAAGATGGCTGACTTGATACGTATTTGTAATATATATACAGATTTATACTAGTATATAAAGGGTTATACATTATTACATTATATACAATATTACTATATACATAATTCATGTACATTTACTATTAATACATTACATAAGTCAAAGTACTCGCATTTTTTAATTAACACATATCAGAAGACTTTAACCCATCCCTTAAACGCCATGGTATCTTGGTCTACTTACTTGAATAACCTGGAGAAGTTGATATATAACAGCTGCATATTAGTCTCACCTGCTGCAACAGCTTGTCAGCCAAGGCCTGCACGCTCTTGACGTGATTGTCATCCACCTTCATGTCGCTGTCCAAGTCATCCAGCTTCCGTAGAAGGGCGGTGCAGTGCTCGTAGTCGCGACCGGTCTCGTTAGCTTAGATCTGGATGTTAAAATAATTTTCATCATCATTAACATCATCATCATCAGCCTATTGGTGAAATGCATCTTCTCACATAGAGAAGGTCAAAGCATTAATCATCACGCTCGCTCAAGACGGCTTGGTGATTTCAAACTTATAATTCTAAATTTTAAGTCCAGGTTTCCTCATATTTTCCTTCATCAGTCAGTGGTGTCAAAGTACATACGACTCGGATAAATCACATTGGTAGGGTATAGTCGCCAAATTTCGTCCCCAAGCCTAATTTCGTCCCCATTGGTTTCTTTTTTTCTAAGTAACATCATCTAGTTTTAATAGTTGAAATCTAAAGTTACTTACGTCAGTCGGCCTTTGTAAAACTTTGGCGGTGGAATATAGCTCCTGTCTGGAGATATTTAAAAAAAGAAAAAACTGTTCAAGGTGAGTTTTTGAATGAAATATTATATGTAATGTCTAAATATAGATCTGTTTGACTTACTAAAACGAAATATTTGTCAAAAAGTGTTCTTAACGCTTAGATTTAAATCGATTATAATTTTATTTAGATTATGACATGTGTTTCTTGGTTAATGGAGGTTAACAATAAAATTGGCAAATTCCTAATATCGTCCCCTACCGTGAGCCTAATACCGTCCCGGGGACGATATTTAGATCACTTCGTCATTCACTGTCGTGCACTTTTTGTGACTATTTTTATATTTATTTATTTAATTTGTAGATGCCAAAGAGAAGGTAATGGGATCCTGAAGCAATGAAACAAGCTATTGAAGCTGTACGAACTAAAAAAATGGGGTATAAAAAGGCAGTTAAATTATTTAATGTGCCAAGAGCTACTTTGAAAGATTATGTAAAAAAGTCTGCCAAGCCTACAGAAGATATAGTTTCTGGAAAAATGGGAAGAAAACCAGTTTTGTCACCTGCATTAGAAGAAGAGTTGGTGAACTATTGCTTGCAAATGGAAAATAATTACTATGGTGTGACCGCTTCTGATTTAAGACGAATGGCTTTTCAATTGGCTATCAGAAATAATATTCCACGCCCATTTTCACGAACCAAAAATAAAGCAGATAAGAAATGGATGAAGTTATTTATGGCTCATCATCCTAACTTGTCTTTTCGCAAACCAGAATTTCTATCACGAGCTCGCAAACAAGGTTTTACTGAAGAAAATGTTAAATCCTTTTTTGACATATTAAAACCTGGATTAAAAAAGATTAATTTCAACCTCAATAAAATATTTAATGTAGACGAAACAGGGATCACAACGGTTCAGCATAAAGTGAGAAAAATCCTTACGACGAAGGCAAGAAAGCAATTCACAAATTATCGTCTACTGACCCAATTTTAGTTTCTACTGATGAAGAAAATAGTGACGATAATGACGCTGAATGCCCAGTTTGTCATAAAAGTATTTCATAAGATAAAAAGGGAGAGAAATGGATAAGGTGCACAAAATGTTTCTAATGGATGCATGAGGATTGCGTTGATAATCCAAGAGCTAATTTTATTTGTGCGATTTGTTTTGAGACTTAAAATTACTTAAACTAAACCAAGGATTAATAAAATTCTGATTAGATTATTATAATAATAATGATTACGAATAATAACTGTTAGATATACAAATTAAGTTTACGTACTGATTATTGTGATCTCAATATCGTCCCCGGGACGTAATTAGGAGCCCAAAAAAAATGATGTTGTATTATAAATTTTTGTAAAAGCTGTTTTTGTAGGAAAAGTAAATAGTTTATTTAGTTATTGATTATGTCAAATAATAAAGCAATGTTTACTTAAAGTTTGATGTTTTATTTATTAATCTACTCCTTATATATTTTTTATATTTTCTATATTTCAAAAAGGGGACGAAATTTGGTGACTATACCCTACTTGCCAGGTTTCGAACCCGCACGCTCATGTATAATATGTTCTTTGAGTTACTGTAGTACATGTATCATACCATCAGTTCCTTGTCCCTTATCCAGGCTTCTACATATTTTGTTCAGGTGCTGGTTGAACCCCAGAATATCCTGGGCGTCCTCTAAACCGCGACCTGGTAACCAAAATTAATAAGTATTAAATTCTCATTGAAATTATGTGTTAAAGAAATTAGGAAAAAAATGTATATTATATTCTCATAACATAGTAAATATTATTAGTAACAGTTTTGTCTACTAAAATACATACAAACGAATATATATGTATAATTATTTATAGATATATATACATATATCTTTGTACATCTTTCCATACTAAATATAATGTAAATTACATTTCAACTTGCGACAGAGGTTTCTCAAATTTAGTATCATGGATCAGTCACGATATTATACTAGAAAGTTGATAGAAAGGCTATACTCCCAGTGTTGGCGAATACGACAAAAAATATGAATAGTAGTGTTGGTTTCGAACAAATTATGATGAGTTATGCAGATATTACTTTATTAATATACAAAATGTGACCGTCACAATGATGTCACAGAATAGAGAAAGAAAGAGAGAGAGAGAGAGAAAAAGAGAAAAAAGATAACATTATGATGTTGTAAAATATAGTGGCTTTGTAAGTTGCAAATTTCAAATAATTTTTATACATTTAACAACTCAGCAACATGAAAATCTTGTCATGTATTATATTATCATCTGTTTTTGCTATGTAATTTATATTTCTGCGACATTAACACGAGTGTTTTCGTTAACTTACATACAGACAGTCTTCAGTATTTTATTCATATACTTATAGATAAACTAAAATAGATCTATATTTTATTATATATATTATAAAGTTATCAAGCTAAAAATACTACATATAGCCATAATATATAAGTGACCTATTTGTTCCTCGGCGTCCTCGAGCGTAGTCCACTCTCGTTCCAGCTGTTCCAGCTCCTTGGCCACCTCTCTATCGGGTTCCAGCTGTTTGACCTCGTCCAGGTTCGTCCTGTTCGCCACCAGCTCAGCTGTGAACGCCTGGTGTCTCTGCAGCTTCTTGATCTTGTCTTCCAGGTCCGTCACTTCACCTTGATATCGGAAGGCGATAGTTAATAAATGTTCTCAATGTGAATTTTTGATTATATCCTTTACTGAGCAAATAACTATAATATGGCAGTATAATGCAGTTTTAAGCAGGGAGTCCCTTATTTTGTCACCTTATTTGAGAATAAATTAATTATTTTTCGACGTCCCCATTTCTTCACCTACTATAAAACCACTATAACTTATCCTAGCTAGGTGAAATTGCAAATTACTCAGGACTCTACACAACGCCCCTATTTACTGTCTGGGTTTCTTCCTGTCTTTGGGGCCTATCACTCAGGAAAGTCTGGTTTATATATGTCTCTCTCTCTCTCTACGTGGTTCTGTTACAGTAGTAGTGTCCCCGTGGCTGTTCAGTGTGGATAGTTTCTCATCCTGGTGAATATTGATAATATATGTTATGAGGAGGCATTTTACTACTAACATATCATTTTCTATAACAAATTTTATTATTACTGTCTCTTAGTATTTAAATGTATTGGTTCTGACTGACCTGTGTCGCCAACTTTGTTTCTCGAAGGCCTCGTGCTGCTGGTTGGAGATATTTCACTGCCTGCAAAATAAAATAGATTTAGTCAAATATACATTATAGGAATATGTGAATGTAGGAGAGGGGCGAATGATATATAAGCGGTTGTCAGAGGAGATCAGGACTCTCTTATCGTTCGTAACGCGTTGGTGATATAGATTAAACGATCGTTGATGTTTTTCTGTGTTTAAATCTCTCATTTTTATTATATTAGACTTCATTTCATTATAAGTATAAATCGAGATAGTTGATATAATATATTTATGTAAATTCAATAAATTTATAGTGACATTGTATCGAATATTACTTTTAAAGTCAAGTCTGATCTTGTTTCTACGCACCCATATATTTTATGCCTTTTAATCATTAATATTAAAATATCTCTCTCTCAGGATGCAGTGCCAGTCGATCAGCTGGTCCAACGCCACCTGCCGAGCGGCCCACGCGTTAGCGAGGCGGCCGCGCTCCTCTACTACCGCGCGACAACGCTCCTTGATCTCCTGGAAATAATTAGTAATAAATAGTGAGATTAATGAACCAGAATTACTTGTGGTTATACATATCAGAACAGATTTATCTTATGAGATATACTCGTACTTTCGCGGGTGATCATTGAAATGTAACTAATATTTTTTGTATTTACTATGATGTCTACTCGTGATGCACGTGAAATATCGGTAGTACGATATAAATAATTACTGTAAACACTTAGTAAATACAAAAAATATTACTTTTAATACCATATACTATTGCTAACATGTTTTTCATAGTATAATATTGTTCCAGGGTGTACTAACCGCTGAGCTGGGATGTTCCTCATCGTCATGTTGTCGAGCGCGTCTACCTCCGCCCCGTCGTGGTGCGCCCTCTGAGCCTGTGCCGCTGCTGCTGAGCGTGCGGCAGCTGGGGACGACATCTCGCTGCGGAGGGATGACGACCACGAGATGACGTCACGGAGCTGGGGAACGATATTGATGATATATATATATATATATATCTTATATATAAAATTCTCGTGTCACAATGTTCGTTCCCGTACTCCTCCAAAACGGCTTGACCGATTCTCATGAAATTTTGTAAGCATATTGAGTAGGTCTGAGGCTCTGAGAATCGGCCAATACCTATTTTTCATACTCTAAGTAAAAGGGGCTGTTCACCCCTAATTTTTGTTTTAATTTGGACGAAAGGTTTCGTTTTAATTTTTTCACGATTTGTCATAAGAAAATATATCCAACCCTAAATTTTTTTTTTATCACAAACCCCTACTTTTGATAAGACAAAACAATGTTTTGTGGGGTAGCTAGTATATACATATATATACGAAATCAAAACTAACATAAATTAGTACTGAATATAAAAAAATGTCTCTTAGTTAAGCGTTATATTTGAAACAACTACTAATTATAAATTCATTTTTACAATTAGTAGTTGTTTCAACGTGTACTGCGGATCGGAAATCTGCGAGCTGCTTTGGTTGTGACATCAGACCCTTCATTTACAGGAAGTACAACATCAGGAGTTTGTTTGTCTGTCATTGGACTAGACACCACAAAGTCTGAACCTTCATTAGAGACCACCGCCTCCAACCGTAATTCAGAATCACCTGGGGCTGCGTCAGCGCCAGACACGGTTGAAGGACCAGGAGTAATAGCAATCCGAGATTAAATCACTTATTGGAGTTGTAGGTGTCGATTCTATAATTGGACTATTGGACTCTATTGTAGATTCAGACGCTAGCTCTTGTGTCAAATCAGTATTAAAATCTCCGATTGTACTTATTTCATCAGAGTCAGGAAAATTATAATCTCCCTTATGTAGTAACATTTGATCTATATGTTTTTTTAAATTAATTTTAAATTCCGGAATATATATAAGAAAAAGTCTAGATCCATTTTTTTTAGAAGTTCCATTTTTATAAAACTGTTTTATTAAGACTTTATTTCCTATTTTAAACTGGATCTTATGACTTCCGCCAAACTGTTTACGCTGTGATATCTGTTTGGAAACAATATTATCATTAGCCATGGATGACGACATTGGATGAGGTAAAACTTTCATAGGTTTGATAAAATCTAGACTAGAAAGCAATTTTCGTCCTAAAAATAATTCAAGTGCAGTGCAAATAAAAATTTTAATAATTTCATTTTAACTATAGTGCGTAAGGTGAATGGAACCGTGCGCCCATATAGATAGTGATGAAATTTTTTAATTGCGAAAATAATCGCGGACGTTCTTTCTGTATCTGGGCGTAGATAAGGAGCGCGACGCGTACGCCACCACGCGCTCGACGCCGTCCGCTTGCCGCTATGACAGCACCGCGCCGAGCCCGGCGGGCCCCGCGTCCGATGTTACAATAGTCGGTAACTCAGGATTGTAATGAGCTAAAACTCGATAAGAGGTTAACTCTTGTTAAATTTTAATAAACGCCTCTTCTTGAAACGGTCCCCTAGTCCATTTTTCACAGGTCGTTATGTTATTGCATTTTATAGAACACAATTGTAAATTAAAAGCGCTAATAAAATCGCGGCCCAAAAGTGCTGGTTGGTAAACTTTAGTCTAAACAACATATATTTTAAGCATTCGTTCATGACCTTCATAATTTATTGATAACTAGTTTTTGCCCGCGACTTCATCCGCGTTAATTTCGTCATTAGTAATATATGTATAGCTAACCGGGCGAACTCTATTCCGTCTTAAATAACCAGTTATTGGTATTTATTAAATTTTTCCTGTTTCAATCGAACAGAATGATTAACATATAGTTAGTTGTCAAATCTAACTTCAAAAAAACGTTTGTATGGGAAATAGAAAAGGGCTGTTTATAGAGTTTTCCCAGAAGTGAATAAATTTTTTTCAGCTTTTATACTTTCCCTGAATCTCCACAAACATTTCAAGACTAAGATAAGATAAATCCGTTTAGCTGTTCTCGAGTTTTAGTGAGACTAAGGATTTTATATATATAGATAATAGATAATAACTTATTCGTCATTTTACTGCCATTATAACAATTAAATACAACACGACACGATTGCAGTTCATAACTTCGAAAGAAAAACTTATCTTATACGTGTTTAGGTAAAATCGAAACCGCACTACCGCTATCTATTTCACATAAAATATTTTGATTATGATTGAAATGATTTGTTGCATCGATGCCCCATTTACACATAACACACTTAATATTAAAACATTGAAAGTTACCTTCTACATAATATAATGTCGTCACCGCCCTCGTCATCACCCGAGTACTTATCCAAATAATTGTTACATTTCATTTTATACGCTTTACACATTCGCTGTAAATGACCCTTAGCATTACATTTAGGACACGTAAAGTTCGCGTAACGACACTGATCTTTCATATGGTTTTTATAACCACACACTACACAAACTTGTTTCACACTCGGAGCACTATCACCAAAGGTTTCCACCAAACATGATATTTGCACTCGACGTCATTATATTTTTACTCACAAAGTTCACAAAAACACTATTTAATGCGTGGATTGCTAATTCGTCGCCAAAATGTTATATTTATGAGTAATAATGAAATAAAACAATGAACTTGTGGCACACAATTTACTGCTTCAACGTAGACTGACAACTGTCACAAACATTATTTATCTACCTATGATATTACTCACATAAAGTAAATGGGCTATTATATATAAAGTTTTGAAGTCAAGTAATGAGTGAAGGTTTATTTAACTAAAATATGGGTAGTGGACATAATTAACTGAAATAAAACTATGATTTTCGGATATATTACGCGTTTTATTTAAATTAATACTTGCGAAAGTCGTAGACAGCACACACCTGTAAGTCATTATACATTAAACTTAGTTGAAAATTATATACATACATATATATATATATGTATATATATACATATGTTATATAGGTTTGGAAATGTTAACGAAATAGTTGGCTACTTACAAAATTATTGACAAAATATTCCCTCACAACATATAGTAAATAAATGTATATTAACGAAAGAATAGTAAAAGCAAGAACATTTGTAAAAAGTGATAGTGAATGAAAAAATTATAAAATTTATCATGTGTCAGCTGTTTTACATATATTACGGAGATATGTAATAACACCATAATCTGTAAGTAGAAGTTACGTAATAAGATCACCCCATGTTTGTAATAATCTGTCAAAGATAATCTTTATAATAATTAATTTAAAGAAAACGTTCTGTATGCTCCAGTTTCTAAATTATTTACTACTTCCTTATTTACGCATCAACAACAAAAGGAAAGTAAAGATTTTAATTTCCGCAGTGTTTACTTATAGGTAGTAATAATGTATGTTTGGTGAATATTCCATAATGGTAGGGTATCTTATTGTTATTTAATCTACACAGAATGAAATAAATTATTTCTAATCATTATTTATTTGTATTTATTTATTTTGTAACTAACATCTGAAGCTTAATGTATGGCTAGCCAGCTAGCTGTTTGACCGCGGAAGAAGCTGAGAAAGTGTTTTTTTTTTCAAAATTCTGCATATTAAAAACTTACTTGTAAAACCATCTTTATAATATTATATTCGTGATGTCAACGAGGCTTCCTTTATTTGTTGTATAAATGCATAAAGCCATATAAATAGTAATGAATTAAGTGATTAGACATAATTCATTACTTCTACCAAGGCAAAAGCACTCAATAATAATTGATAATACATTAATTCTCGAAACCATGAACACGTATGGTGTTAAACCTAAGAATATGAAAGTGTTCTCAACAATTATTTTTCTTAATCGAATCCTGAGATTATTCGGGCTATCTTGCATTTCCTCTGACGGTTTTCAAATAAAATGTGCTCCTCTCGTGTTCAGGGCCATTTGTATTACTTCAACACTAATTATATTCAATGCCCTTTGTATTTATTACTTATTTCCTTATTTTGAAAACGGTCTATTTCATTTAACTTACCACGATTCCATACATCTCATATTCATTATAGGGTTCGTTCAGTACATAGTGAATATCTATTTTGTTTATAAATATGGAAGGGAATCCTATTTACAGTATTTTGATAGATTTGATCTTTTTGATAGGACCATCGGTATCGCGGTATACGAAAAAATTAAGAGGACCATAAACAGAATATGTTTATTTTTTATTTTTATTCCTTTCATAGCATCTATTGGCGAAGTCATTACTTGGTATATAAGTTACCAATCATCAAATCACATATTTTATATGTTGTATTATATATATGATTTTCTTAATTTACTTAGTGAACTAGATTTTATAGCAAATTGCACTCAAGTGTTGTTTCGCTTACAATCAATCGAACAGAAATTGAATGATTATTTTTGTCATGTCACTAATTTACCTGAACCATATAACGAGACTAATCACCCTGTTGTAAAATCTAGTAGCAAAAACACTAACGTCTCTGCTCTTTCATTAACTAAAACAGTTCATCGGCAAAACGTTGTATTACTGTTGAACAGATGTTTCTTGCTGTTAACTGATCAGTTTCATTATATCAATAGAATGTTTGGATTGAGGGTAAGTAAATATGATAATAATTATGTAGCATTATTGTTTACAATATCAGTTTTCATTATATGTAGATGACCTTTATTTCAGATATTGCTCTCCTGCGTAAATTTCATTGTGGATACGTTATTGAAAATAACTACAATAATCAAGTTATTTAGTTCTGCTATAGAGGTAAGTTTCACCTAAGAATATGTGGCATAATTTTCTTAGCTATAAAAGTTATGAGATATGAATATATACATTAAATGGAAATATGATTATGGTACATGGTATTGTTTATTTCAAAGAATATATTTTTTTATTTTAAGTTAGTGACTAGTGGCTCAAGATATCTGCCAATCAGTATGACCATCGTGCAAATTATCGTAAACTCAATAGTTGCTTTTTCTATAATTCATATTTGTGAAAGTAACTACGGACAAATTGAAAGAATTGTCAC